ATGGTTCGATTTCCGGTCAGGGCACATGCCCAGATTGCAGATTCTTGCAGGTTCGATCCCCAGTGTGTGGGGCATGCTGGAGGCAGCTGATCAATGAGTCTCTCTCATCATTGATTCTCTCTCATTATTGATGTTTCTACCTCTCTCTCTCTCTCTCTCTCTCTCCCCCTTCCTCTCTGAAATCAATAAAAAATATTTTTTAAAAATTATTTAGAATAGACTCTTTCTTGTAATTTTATATGTATGTGTATACATTTTTAAAAGTCTAGAAAACTACATACTAAAATATTAAACCCTGGTTCTATCTGGTCAAACATAGGACAGTTGGAAAATCAGTAAGGAAAATATACAAGAGTTGAAAGATGAATATGTTTAAATTATGAGCTCACTGTGATTTAAAAAATTCACAGGCATCCTTGTAAGATGCTGGGGAACAAACTCATTATTTGGAAAACTGGTTAAGAAAAGGGGGGAGGGCAACACATTGATTCTCCCTTTCTTATACAAATTGTTCAAGGTCACTACATAACTGACAAGGAGAAGTCTGTCTTTATTTTTTTTAAGTCATTAAATGTCCTTTCAACATGGGGAGCCCATTGTGACACCTTCTCCATCCTATTTTCTAGATGTGTCCACGAGGTGGGTGCCGAGGCAACGGGCTCTTTAGAGGCCTGTCCAGCGGCCTGCTCCACACCCTCTGACCACACCTGCAGGAGCTGCGCAGTGCTGGAGACACCGGCTCTCACCCAGCTCTTCCAACCCCCCTCCCCCACCCCCTCCCCCATCCAGGCTGCTGTGCTCCAAGGCAGAAGGTGAAGGCTGAGTTAGGATGCACAGTCACCAGGACGTACTGTGTGGTCAACAGCCTACTTCAGCAAAAGACAATTCACCGTTCCTTTGAATTCACTGAGATAATCCTCACGCTTGGGCCCCAAATCCCACGGAGATGGAGTAACCCCCATACCCAATGAATGGGGCCCTGGCGCTGGGCAGCCAGTCCTGAAATGCAGACTTTGCAAGGCAAAATCAGAGGGGCAGAAGCTCCAATACTACTTTTCTCCCTCGGTGTGAAAATAACAAGAATAAAAACGAGAAGCTGATTTCCTCCGAGGGATGATTATTTCTCTTGGGAGACCAGTTCTAGAAGCTCGTTTAAAAAAAAAGATGGAGAAATGAGCAAATCATTCCCTAAAGCTGAGTGATCACTTCCGTTATTCAAAAAAGAGAAATAAAGACTAGCAGAGAACATACATTGTCCTGAGTTTAGCCATCACATTTCCTGCATTTTCTGTTGTTGTTAACTATTGTCACCCCAATAAATTCAATTTAAAAGTTGTTTTTGAATTTCTCTTGGGAGTTAATAAGCCCAACAGCTTCCTCCCCTTATTCCACTTTCACTGTTATTAAAAGTACTTCCTCTACTTGGAAGAATTCCAGCTAATAAATGCAGGCGAAACAATAAAACCAAAACATAGCAATTTTGTGACCCTCAATAAAATAATGGGCCTTGGCTA